TAAAAAATCGAAAGTAATTATGGGAAAATGAGCGATATCCGGTTAAGCACGTGACTATAATCTACTCGCATATTTATGCCTCGTCAGTTCCGTTATCACATCCACAGGGAACCACAAACCTTGTTGTCTACGAGAACTTCCATCTATCTACGAATTCACATTTCCTCTGCTCCTTGCTTTACACTGTCACGTGAGAAAAGGTGCAATATAGAGTTATGAATCGACCTGTCAAGTGATCCGTCTGTCGTGTAGCGAAGTAAAACTGTTTCCACTACATTCTCTGATGTACATCTGTAATAAAAATGTATGGAAGACGAAGCAGGTGTGATAAAACTAGACAGATAATTCACTGTATCTATGACAAACTGAAATTAAATTTGTCTACGGTGACCCTGTGGTGACAAGGCTGAAGATCACGTGATTTTCGCGATATCAATACGGTGATCCGTTTTTGTAAAACGTACGCGACATATGGTATGATTGATCCAACTGTAAAGCACAGATTTTTTTCATTCTTCATTGAGTGATGCTAGAGCTCTAAATTTTGTACATCCTGAAGATGGTTTAGAAAAATCTAAATCGGAAGAAGCAAATATGGACGGAAACAGTAGCACCAATTCTGTGATCGTTTATATACGTATTAGATATAAAATATTTGAAATGTTCATATCTAAATGGGTTCGTTAAGGGTATTTATCTAATTGGTCTTTCGTCCGCTATTCCGGCCTTCCGGTCTTTCAGAGGCCGTAAGAGAGGACGTAATATCAATTAAATACATACATAAATAAGTACAACATGTTAGCGAGCTTCAACGGTATAATCAGCTAATTTAAAGTGTTTCAATATGTATCATGGCGGTTTGTGTTTCTCATGAAGCTGAGAAACGGGGCGGACTTTGGGGACGTATAGTTGTGTCCTTGGACAAGACACTGTCCATTGAAATATACGTATCAACCACCTACTACAATGAAACCACTTAATAATGATTGTGACGTTTTACGAGACGATCAAACCAAGCAAATAAACAAATAAACAAATTTATCATTCTACCGTGACCGTGACGTAGATGTGAAAAAGCGTGCAGTTTACCTAATGATAATGCTTTATATCTACAGTGACCCACTAGAGAGAAAATATATACGATGACGCTAGTGTGATACAATCATACATTTCGCCATATGATTTTCTGTATCTACGACGACCCACTGGTAACAGAATTCGAACAAAGTGTATGCTAAGAGTACAACGCACCACTATCCTGGTTGTGGTTATAAAATTTATCTCTTCGATGTCGCCCTGATGACAAGTCGTGAAACTGTCCATTTTGTGCTGCATATTTCACTAAAAGGATAGGATGGTGTTGATATGTATCGCAGTGTTTTATGGGTGCTGTATGTATGAATCCCTTGCACTGAGATCGGAATAAAAAAACAGCAAAGTTTGATGTAATACATATATAAGGTAAGTGTGCTTCGTATGTGATGGCCAACAGATGTTACGATTTTTCAAAAGAGTTTAAATTTGTACAAACATGAAACAGGGGTAAAATGATGGACGAACAAGGATAGTAGAAGAGCTGGAGAGATATATAAGGAGGGGGTATATGGATATAAAAACGCAGTCGTGATAGCAAAGACATGCATGGTTTGAAACATGGTTGAAATGAGAGTGACGGACTTTGCGATTTAGAGAAGAGGTCGAGTTAGGAAGAGACGGACAGAGTTCAGAGGTCAGAAGAGAGGTCGAAATGTGGAGTTGTAGGAGGCAGGTATTGACCGGAAGTAGGAGAAGAGGTCGAGTGACGTAGAGTTGGGTGTAGAGGATTATGGTTCGCAGATTGGAAGAACTTTTTTGGTAGATCGGGCTTTTGTAAGGAGGTGGGGAACAGGGCTTGGATAGAATGGGGGCATAGTTTAAAGGTAAGGAAAGAAGGGATGATGCGAAGTGAAGAAGAAGTTGAGAAACGAGAAAGAAAAAGGGATGACCCGAGGGTGTTAGGAAAAAGGGCTGAGAAAAACGGCAAAGAATGAGAGTACCAAGTAACATATAAAATAAATGTGTATTCTGAACAGCATTGACACATACAACATGCACTCAACGACACTTGATGTTTGACATTAACGAGGAGATTTAGTACGTGTAGACAAAGGCTGGCATTCCTCAAAGTTTTGTAGTGGTTTTGATGTCGACGGGTAACTTATCAGAGCACGGAACATGTTGAGACATTCCTGGATTATATTTGAATTTATCTGCCAAGATGAATACAATGTTTGAAATTTAACAACAGAAACTTTATTTTCCATATTGTCTAATCCGTATTTAATGAGCATTTAATGTTATTTATATGAGAAATACGAACAACGGCATTGAATCATATAGAACGCGGGATAACAACGAATTGTAATATACTAATTGACGTGTTCATCACAACCTCTCAGTTTTTGAGATTGGCCAGCGAAGACCTGTCGGGTTTGGATATTACCTATAAAATCATGGAGCCACAATATGAGTACTTTGAAGGACAATCTTTGTCTGCTTAATATGCGAATTGCCTGGTCATCTGCTCACTGTTGTTTTCCGCACAATCAGAATTTCATAACTTCCGGTGCCATTACTGACCGGAAATGAGGGTTATTGCAGTATATTTTGTTTCGTGGAAGAGGTGTTTGAACCAAATTGTTTGTCAAGTATAAAGTCTATTTCACGATGTTTTTGTATCGATACATTTATTAAACAATACTATAAAATATTCATCATATTTCATCATAGTTGCCTATGACAGTTGTTTGTGAAGTGTGATTTTAGTTTAGTGGAATTGTTGAAAGCTGTCAGCAAAGTTTCGTAATGTTACACAGGATTGAAGAGAAAACCTCTGTTGCAGTAGTTTTGTATCATTTCGGAAAAAGAAAAAAACAAAACCACTTTTTTCAGATTACTGGTGACATTGTTATAAGAAACCACCCTGTATATTGGTACGTGTGCTGTTATATTTGAGCCCTAGTTTCGCACCATTTTGATGGATAATGACGAACTGTCGCCACTTTTGATATGATACTTGATCAGATTGGTGTATCTACTTTGCCTGGGATTAGCATCATGTATATCGCTGTTGCTGTATAAATCCACATCATAAAGTTATATAAGATAGCAATCGGACAATCGATTTAAAATCCTAATAAAAAAGTTTGGAACTTTGAAACCATCATCTTACAACTCATGTTCATAACAACTGAATCAAAATGCACCGTGCATTAACAAGTTTAGTCCAAAAAGTAAAACATCTAGAATTAACAGTGTCTTTTCATCAAGTACATACACATGCAATCACGCGAGATAGAACGAGATCTGGAGATTTTGAAGACACGATCCGTAGACAATGCATTATCAGCCTTTTTTGTACTGAAACATAAACAGGATTCTAGTGTTTACGTAGACCGATGGTTAGTACTAAGAAATGTGCAATTTAGGAAATATAAGCGAGCGACAAAACATAATTTTCGTAAATTAGGTACATGAAGTGTGTCTCTCACTCAGGGATTTAAACTGTGTTGTATGAAATACAGTGTACATGTAGAGTGTACTGTTAGATGAGAAGTTATCTAACACGCGCATTGCAGAGATTGATAAGAGCGCATACAGAGGGTATTATTCAAATTACAATTGCTTTCGACATGTTCAATTCGCAGCTACATCGTTAGATACGGGACTTGTTGTATAGCGAAAGATGTCGAATCTAGTGTATACTTTAAGGAACTGAACCAGCTTTGATATCGCACGTTATCTGTATAGTATCGTTAGATACTGGTCGATAAGTAATAATGCTACAAAAGGATATACGTTCGTAATTCTATAATTAGACAAAGAGCTCTCTATATTTGTAATATTATAATATAGATATCAAGATTCCTGAATATGCCTGTTGCATTCATGTTATTGTTTATGTTTCTGTGTTATGTAACTTTCTTAGTTCTTATACACATAATGCATTGACAGTGGATTTATGTTTATCGTGTACATTTACCTGATAGTACATACAAAACAGATCTCACTCCATTTACCTCGCACAGCTTGAGAGGAAAGATTTTCAAATCTTTCATTCAATAAAAGTTTCAAGAAAATGTGTGGGAATTTAAGCAAATCTTTACACCTGGTAAATAAAACTCCATCTCCTTATCAAACTGCCTCGTTTGAAACACGGGTTTTACTACTGTGATGTAAATCCACGTCTCGTTGGTTAAATGGCTGTTGATTTATTTGAGAGAAGACTGATACACGAGGATTTGTTGTAATAACGTAAGACCGCAGATCAACAGTTTTTGGTACCATTCCAGTTAGTTTTTAATTTCTTAATCCGAATATGGGTTTGTGTGACGTCATTGCTTTGCTAAACATCAGATATATAACAATTGTTGAAAGGAGCTTTTAAATCAAACATCATAGCTTCTTTTTTGTTTTCTTTTCAGACACAAGGTTAGATGGATCTAGCATGTTATATAAGGAGGGAACAGAGAAACAGCAATCTGCTTGGATCTTCGTCTCCTACCTGTCGAATCAGGCCATGGGTAATGGTTCACAATCAGTAGCCGGAGGATTACCGCACCAATTGTTCACCAAGGCAACTATCACCACGCGGGGAACATCTAGGTGTGATATGGGTGAAGGGCAAGGTCACCATTAATGAGATCTATTTTCATCGTCTTGAAGGAAAATTTAATCCGACATGTTAACTTGATTCTATCGAAAGTCTGTTGTATACATGGATCCAATAGCCGTCCTGGAAAAAGGTTGAGCAAATGATAAATGGGTGCGCAAGCAGACAACCGGAAGTGAGTGAAAGAATAAACTTCCGGTTTCGAGACGGCTGATTATTTTCTTATTTTCTCTTCCTAAGTCTTCCAAAATTTATTTGATCAGTGGTTTGCATGAAAAGTCAGTAAGAAAACACACGGCCAACGATATTCGTTCCAGGGACTTGATACTATGGATACGGTCGGAAGGATATGAAGAAACAAAACGTCCGAACTCTATCACTAATCGTTTGTACGTTCACTTACCTTTTAATCGGAGCGGCAGTTTTTGATGCCTTAGAGTCAGAATACGAGAACGAACACCGACGGAAATATCATCTGCAGGAGCAGACGTTTAAATCAAATTACAACATAACCACTGAAGACTATGAGCGCCTGCGCAGAAACATCCTTAAGGTGATGCCGTATAAGTCCGGGCGACAGTGGAAGTTCGCCGGCGCGTTCTACTTCTCTCTAACCGTCGTCACCACCATAGGTAAGTCGTGACGTCATTGATATATGTCATGTGATATTGTGTAAATATTCACATCGTTCTAACCTGGTATTATTTTCATCTAAGATTTTTTTATATAGGCAGGAGACTGTAAAAGGCCATACTTTGTAACCTTTTTGTTTAAGAAACGATGAGACCTGATGGTTAAGATAAATCAATGTTCACTATTTCAGTAATGTACAAGACAACGCAATATAGTGTCCATTTGTAACTAGTAGTGACCAGCACGAAGGAGATGAAATGTACACAGTGGATCACAGGAGCTCCAAAAATATCCTGATGGGCTCTTATCCGTTTTACAAATGATTGAAATGTGCATATGTATACAATGATGCATTGTAAATGTTATGTTCATTTAATTTTTTGTAAGTGTGTAGTTACACGGACATGTACATACATGTACGTGCACACATGCGCGTGCTTGTATCATATTGTTGCAATACAATACATGTACAAGTAAAACTATTTTGTACAATTACCTTACAAAAATACAGTATACATATATACTTTGCACATGAATATCTCTAGCTAGTTTGAGTGTGAAGGCAATCGTTTTATAACTAAACCTTCAGACACGCGCAGATTACAGCAGTGTAATATATCAACCCAGACCATGTACTCCAAGATATGAATTAAATACATTGATCATCTTATGAAGATATTAGCGGACACCAAAGCACGTGTTCGTCAACTATTTCCATAATCAGCCTTTGATTGTGTTGTGAATCTCTCTCATTTCGAAATCTAGATTTAGTTCTGAAACGTTATCCTGATTCCGGAGACAAGTTATTGTTATTTTAAATTAGTCGTAGTGTGTAGGATCTTTTGAGAGCATTGGTTGATCAAATATCCTTTTAAAGTATAGAGTTGCTTATGTTTGTGTCGTTTCGTCAAGTAATTTATGCTATGAAAACAGAATTTATGCTTAAGAACGAAGATGAAGTTACAGCGTTTTTGTCTATTTAGCTGATCATCTTTTTCGATCTGTATAATATCATGGTCATATTACGTTAAAAGTCAAAATTAATGGTCCGGTCATAAATTCTTAGTCACCGAATGTATTTATCAAATGTCATGACAAAATGTTAAATATCATTGATAAGTCCATATATGTTAATCGTTTTGTCCCAGGCTATAACTTCCGACTTGCTGAAGATCATTAACATCGCCGACGATGTGTCTGTCTTAGGCTTTTGTCTTTATTACTTAATAACTATAACCACATTATCAGATATATATACTCTAACACTTGTGATTTCGGTTAATACAGTTTGTTTTTTATAACTAGTTAAAAGTTGTTTTCTCATCCCCGCCTTTTATAGTCCCCTCACTATATACTTACATGTATTACTCCAATATAATGAAAGTGGAGAACGTAAGCGCCGTCATGTATGTAAGGAAGACGTTTAGACGAACTGTGATAAATAGCTTTCCTATTCCTGTTTATTGTAAGAAATCCGGAAGTTACAGTTTCCCCAGTACATACGGGTTCTTTACAGGCAGCCATTCTTATGCTTCATATCACTGCATCTGCAAGGCATAGAACCCATGCACTGTCACGTATGGAGGAAAGACGTTTGAACGAACTGTAATAAATACCCTTCCTCCTCGAGACATCCTATTCCCAAGGTGCGATTTATGATTTCCGCCATTTTGCTCAATAGAATAAAGTAGCCCATAACACGCAGCATTTATCGATTGTTTTGACCTGTATTTAGTTTGTTTCAGGCGTTTACTAAGGTTTTTAATCGCTACTTTTGTTAACATAATTTCAAATACTTTCCTTGCCGAAAGCATGACGTAGAGTCAGATTTATGTTAATTCAAGAGAGTATCTTTTAAAGTACATACGAGAGTAAGTATTGTAAGCCAACAAGATTTTCGTGACAAGAAGATGAACATATTTCCTAAAAACCTACCTATTAAGCTCGACAGTATGTTATGAATTACAGCATCACCACCATCAAGATGTGAGAAATTCTACAAATACTGTATGCATCGCATTGACGGTGTATAAAATAAATTTGTCATTTTTACAACGGTAAACAGATTTGCATTATAGTTTTGAAATAACAAAGTTTTTATTAATTAAGATTAATTTGTGATAACCCCCTAGTGTACAAGTTATATCTCGAATAGATTAATTCGTGATAATCCCCGTGTGTACAAGTTATATCTCGAATAGATTAATTCGTGATAATCCCCGTGTGTACAAGTTATATCTCGAATAGATTAATTCGTGATAATCCCCTAGTGTACAAGTTATATCTCGAATAGATTAATTCGTGATAATCCCCTAGTGTACAAGTTATATCTCGAATAGATTAATTCGTGATAATCCCCTAGTGTACAAGTTATATCTCGAATAGATTAATTCGTGATAATCCCCTTGTGTACAAGTTATATCTCGAATAGATTAATTCGAGATAATCCCCTTGTGTACAAGTTATATCTCGAATAGATTAATTCGTGATAATCCCCAAGTGTACAAGTTATATCTCGAATAGATTAATTCGTGATAATCCCCTAGTGTACAAGTTATATCTCGAATAGATTAATTCGTGATAATCCCCTAGTGTACAAGTTATATCTCGAATAGATTAATTCGTGATAATCCCCTAGTATACAAGTTATATCTCGAATAGATTAATTCGTGATAATCCCCTAGTGTACAAGTTATATCTCGAATAGATTAATTCGAGATAATCCCCTTGTGTACAAGTTATATCTCGAATAGATTAATTCGTGATAATCCCCTTGTGTACAAGTTATATCTCGAATAGATTAATTCTTGATAATGCAAATAACGCATGTACAGACAAAGTCATTACAATACTTCATCCTTACGTAAATAGTGAGTATAAACATGTTATGTACTAAATATAACTTAGACGTATAACAGTGAACAGACGGCTATAAAATCATTTCATCTTCCAAACAAAATCAAGAAAATTCCAAGACGACAACATATTCCTAACTCAAATTCAATAAATTAGGGCAAAATATGAACGAAAGAAAGATTTACACGGAGACTCCTGAACTTATAATTTGATACAGTACAGCCTCTCAGACAAGACTTTAGCTATGGGTGCAGTGTTGTTGCTGTTCACTAACATCGACATCAATTAATGTCTACTGCTTTCTATTGTTTTTTGTAACGCTTGTTCAATCCAGTTTTGAGAATGTGATATAGGGTTTTGTACTGATATATATATCAACAAAATTGTCAAATACCAGAATTAGAAAGTGATTTTTAACTTTCTTCTAGAGTTTACGTTTCATTGACATAAATAAATAATAGCTTTATCATTTCTGCCAACTTCAAAATTACAATGGAATTTTTCGCGTACTTGCAAGTTCACGTCTCTAACTCATTTTGTAAATTCAGCAGTTCTCTATTGTTCCTTCTGTTGTATTTCCGTCTTACTTTTCTAACCGTGACTCAATATAAAAAGAAATTATCAAAGACCACAATCATAATACTGTTTATGTTGTCTAGGGATATCGGGGACAGGTCCCGACAAGTACGCATAAGTTTAGACTGTTCAGTTGAGTTTTTCGGCATCAGTTCTCGTGCACAACTCGGCGTCTAAAAAGAGAAACAAATTATTGCACATGCATGTACGTGTTATCTGTTGTACAAATTATGATGAAAAGTCCACCACGTGCTAAGATGTTAATTTTTTTTATAAGGTGACTAATTTTAGATTGTACCACACACGTTTATTCTTGGCACGTGTTTTCACTGTACCGAATCAACATATAAGTTAATAACTAGGGCCCGGTTTTCTGCTCCCGTAGAAGATCGTTATATTTCTACAGCTGTGTTTGCTGATGTTGTGTTGTAAATAATTAGTTACACAGAATTAGAAAAAAGACTTGTATGCTCGCCATTGATTAGTAATCATATTAATCCGTATCCATGTTCTAACAAAATTATAGACATCCATCAAACTTTTTGACATCTTTTCTTTATATTTATTTGGTAATTAAAAAAAGCCCGTTGATTTACTTAACTATATTTATCGCGGAGTGGTTGGAGGAGGGAGTGGAGGGAATGAAAAATTACTTTTTCTGTGTGATAATAATGGAAAACGTAAACAATGTAATTCCTGTCAATTTGTTTCAAGGGGGGGGGGGGGGGTTGATTTTGCCTGTCCTTAAAACACAGACGTTGAGACCCCTTCTTATTAAAGCATATTTATTATCTGTCACTGTGTCATTAGTTATCTCCCTTAGGTGGACATATATCTCTAATTTTCATAATAGTTGAAAATGAAAGGCGGAATTATATTACTGTTGTAAATGATCATGATCAAATAAATAATGGAAAAAAATTAATGTGCTAAACAGATCGCCATCACTTAAAAAGTCTTACTACAGTTCATTTAACGAATGTGTATTTCAGTCCAGCAAGTGTCTGATACAACTCCAAGTTTCCAATACATGCTTTTTTAAAAAAAAAAAAAAAAAAAAAGTATTTCAAAATTTGACATTAAAAACCTCGGATAAACGCAACATTTTTTTCAAATGATCACAGCTATTAGCTTTTCGAAAAAAAAAAAACTGATAAAATTCTCCGATCGAGGCTGAATATGAACATGACAGATTTGATAGTACTGGCATTGGTCGTGTCAATGACAGGCCTAACAAGTTAACTAGGTTCACCACACATGGACAGGTCTTCCAATAACTGAAATCGAATAAGCGCGTTGGAAAACAACAATTAGGCAAATAACGGTTCATATAGAGTTCGTTTGTGGTATACAAGTGTGAAGAAATTGTATCGGGTGTCACCAAAGTGTTTGTTTCCTGGCGTTATATTGATTCTGATATTTAAGCGTCTTTATCACACTGAGAAGCTGTACGGTGCTGTTGTTCGTTATATTGGAAATCGTATTAGCCCAGAAAAGTGATGTAGCTGCTTGGTATATGATATATTTGTATCAATATTCGGATTTCAATGTACAGTAGAGCCTTGTT